GATGACCTCGGCTTCTCCAAGATTACCTCGGCTTAACTACTAGGGCACGTGGCACCTCGGCTGACACGTCGGCGTCACCATGCCACGTGTTGGTATTCAGAAAATACATCCCCACAATAAGTTATTTTTCTTTTGTTATTTTTATATTATGTTTTTCATTTAATATATTACCTATTTTTTTGCTTCTAAAAAAAATACAAAGAAATTTATAAAGTAAAAAAAGAAAAAAGAAATTCCAATAATGATACAAAAAATAAGACCTACACAAAATGAAAAGATTCAAACCTAGACTATTCCATGATTTCATTGGAATTGACTAATGATGGGAGCAAGTCCAAAAGTTAGTTCAATCTAGCATTTATTATTATTATTATTATATTTTTTTAATTCCACTCATATTTGCATGAAAAAAAAGAAAAAAAAAACCGATAACTTAAATTTCGAATCAGGTATGGTAATAAAATTCATGAGAATAAAAAGTAAAATTTATGATGCATAAATTTACGTTTTCTTTTATAGAACAAGATTAACAATACCAAGCTTTTCCTCGTCAAGTTACTTTTAGTCCATTTTATTTGTATTCTTAACACATGATTAGAGTTAATATTCATATTAATGAATGGATTTGTGAACTACTTATGGTTTTAATATGCTAATTTAGCTCAAAGCTCGTTGAATATATAACACCATCACTCTCAGTGGCAGAGGCAAAAAATTAAATCATAATTGATTATAACTTTAATTTTTTTCCCCCATAACCAATAATAAGAAAATAATAATAATTTTTGAATTAATATTAAGTACAAAAACTTAAATAAATTATTATAAAAGTATTTCATATAAAATTTTACAATTAATTTCAAGTAAAATCGAAAAGAAAGCATTGTGTGTAATTAGTGTATCATGGACAATATAAAAAAATCATATATTTAAGTCTTAAAATAAATTATATAATTTTTTTTTTTGTGATAAAATATGAGATTAAAAAAAAAAACCAGGTATATTTAGGATAATTTTTTGATTTTTTTACAAAAAAAAAATATGCAAAAAGTAAGAAGGAAATAAATATTTGACTTTTCGGTATAACTTTTTTAGTTTTTTGACTTTTTTAAGTATCTTTTTGATTTTTTTTTTACTAAAATAATGTATTGATTTTTGGTATAACTTTTTTGAGTTTTCATATAACTTTTTTGACTAAAATAATGTTTCTTTGACTTTTCGTATAACTTTTTGACTTTTTAACTTTAAATTTTGTAGAATTTAATACATCGACAAAAAATCCTGGAATTGCCTCTGGTTCTAGTATAAATGTCATGGCAAATTTAGCATTGTTGGGTTGTGTTTGTTTTGTTGGAGCCATTTGTATCTGGTTTACTTTTATGGTATCTAAAGCCGGTTAGGTTAGCATTGTTCATGTTCTTGTCTGATGTAACTGTCGTCAATGTGCATTGCTTTGTGCTTCCTCGTGTGTTTTGGTAACTGTATGTATGCAATTCTTTTCGAAGAATATGTAAATATTAAATATTAAGGTCAAGAATGAAGACTTCTTCCTCTCAAACTTTTGGCAAAAGTAACATTAATGCATGAAGACTAATGAACTTGCAAGACTAGAAGAGGAACTCTGTGAGAGAGGGAGAGAGAGAGAGAGATTTCAAAAGCAAACAAGCTGAGAATTAAAATAATTGTAGCTCTCCTAAATATGGAACTCAAGCTGAAAAGGTTACCTTGGTGATTAGAACCCTCATACAATGTTGTTTGGGTTGGAGGATATCTGATATGCTTAATCCTACTTTTACATTAAAAAATAAATAAATAAATATGCCAAACTTGGCTTGAACTCAACTTGAAAAACTACCAGCAATGCTCAAGACAAAAGGGGCCTTTAACTACTGAACTTGGCATGCACTACAAGGGTTTGCTTGGTGAGAGGCTCATCTAAAATTGGTCCAAAACATAACTAACAAAGGTTATATAGTAGTTTTGAAGCTTGCCAATATCTTTTAATTTGGCTCAACTTTATTCAATTCCATCTTTTTATATTTTTGCAAGTTTTTAAAACAGTGTTTCACCATTTACACTCCTAAGGTTGTAGGTAGAATCATTTTGCTCTGTTTATTGCTTTTTGATAAGGTATCATTAGTCTCTCCAAGTTTCCAACTTTGATTTAGTTTTCAATCCAACCTTTAAACTTTTTATTGTGAAATACAAACTGTTAATTTTATATTTAAGCCCTTCAATTTTCATAATTAAGTCAATATAGTCCAATGCATTATTAGATGTGAAAAAGACTAATGTTATTATTATGTGCTACTTAATTGGCCTAATTTTAGAATTTAAACTATATAAAATAAAATTTAAAAAAAAGATTAACAAATGAGTTTAAAAAAAAGGAAAAAGAAATCAAAGATAGATGCCTATTTTGAATCAATTATCATTTTATCCATTTAAAACTAATATTAATTTTCACCGTCCATGTTCTTTTTTGGTATTTAAACTATTATTCTCTTAATTTAATCTTAAAATTAGATAAATTAAAAGGCACACAATAGTTTTTCTCATATTTATTAATAAACTAAGCTACATTGACTAAATTTTTACATTTGGACATAAAATAGAAAACATATTATTTACATGTTTAAATAGCATCCTCATCTCAGCCACTCATCTTATCTACATGTTATTTCTTGGTTGCCCAACACTCCGCCTCATACAATATCGCTGGTCTAATAGCCATTTTATAGAACTTACCTTTTAGTCTAGTGGGTATTTGTTTATCGCACAGTACCCCAGATGCACTTCTCCACTTACCCTATGGGCCACATCCACATCAATCTCCGCCGCTGTTGTGATAATTGACCCTAAATAACGAAAATGTTCACTCTTAGGCAGTTATTGGTTCTCAATCTTCACTTCTTTGCTTTCATTGTTACTGTTACTAAATTTACACTCCATATACTCTGTCTTAGTTCTACTTAATCAGAATCCTTTATATTTAAGAGTTTTTCTCAAAATCTCCAACTTTGTGTTAACTCCTTCTTTAGTCTCATCCACTAGCACTCTGCAAAAAGCATACACCATGGCACGTCATCCTAAATATTTCTCCTCAACTCATCCATAACTAAAGCAAAAATATAAGGACTTAAGGTAGATCCTTAGTGTAACCCTATAGTGATAGGAAATTCATTTGTCTCTCTAACAAATGATCTAATAGTGGTCACCATCTCTTCATACATGTCCCTAATCACATCAATGTAACATTTTGTCACCCCTTTCTTCTCTAACACCCACCATATATGCTTTCTTAAGATTGATAAACACCATATGAATGTCTTTTTTCTTTTCTCTATACTTTTCTATTACTCTTCTCAAAAGATAGATCGTTTCCATTGTTGGCCTGCCAGGTATAAACCCAAATTGATTCTCTGACACCTCTGTTATATCTTACAATCGGCGTTCCATCACCCCCTCCTGCACTTTCATTATATGACACATTAGTTTGATTCCTCTATAGTTGTTGCAATTCTGGATATCTCCTTTATTCTTATAGATTGGCATTAAAATACTCTTCCTCCACTCATCTAGCATATTCCTAGTCAACAAAATGTTGCTAAACAACTTAGTCAACCAAGAAACCTCCTTTTTACCCAAGCACTTCCAAGCTTCAATAGGGATATCATCAAGTCCTAAAGCCTTATTTGATTTCATCTTCTTAAATGCAATCTCCACTTCAAAGTTCGTAATCCTACGATAAAACCTATAGTTTTAGTTTATCATATTACTAGCTATTTCTTTCCTATTGTCATACCCCCATGTTCCTCATTTAGTAGTTTCTCAAAATAATTCTTCCATCTTTCCTTAATCTCTTTATCCTTCACCAATACCTTAGAATCCTCACTCTTGATGCATTTAACTTGATTAAAATCTTTTATTTTCCTCTTCCGTATCCTAGCAAGTTTGTATACCTTCTTTTCTCTCTCCTTACTATCTAGTCTAGTGTATGGGTCATCATAAACTTTCAACTTTGTCTGTCTCACTACTTTCTTGACTTCCTCATTAGCCAATCTATAGCACTTAAGGTTTTCCCAAGTCCTATCCTTCTACCACTTTTTAAAACACTTTTTTTTTTTTTGCCTTAACTACCGCGTGAACCTCTTCCCTTCACCACCAAGTTTCCCTTGAGTTGGGTCCCGTTCCTTTCAACTCTCCAAGCACTTCCCTTGAGATTCACTTCATACAATTGGCCATCAAGTTCCACATAGTGTTCGCATCATCTCCCAAATCCCAACTACCTTCCTTATCCATTTTATTCTTAAATATTTCTAATTTATCCTCTTTTAAGTCCCACCATCTTGTCCTACGACACCCACTATCCTTCCTAGCTTGATATTGCCCTCTAAAACATAAATCTAGTACCAAAATCCTATGTTGAGAGGCTAGGTTCTCTCCAGGAATCACCTTACAATCATAGCATTTTAGGCAGTCCACTTTTCTCACTAAGAAGTAATCTATTTGGCTCTTCACTAACCCACTCTTAAAGGTTATCAAATGTTTTTCCCTCTTCTTATACATAGTATTGGCCACCACTAAGTCATAAGCCAATGTAAAATCTAAAATATTCTCTCCAGCCTCATTTTTGTCACCAAAACCGTATCCACCATCCACCCTTTCATAGCCTAGTTTATCTATGCCTACATGGCCATTAAAATCTCCATCTATAACCAGGTTCTCTCCTATGAGTATCTCCTGTAAAATCTCATCCGTTTGTTTCCAAAAATCCCTCTTAGTCTGATCATCTAATCCTACTTGAGGGGCGTATGCACTAAAACGTTCACTATATTCCCTCCAATAACTAGTTTAACTAACATAATCCTATCCTCTTTCAATCCATGATCGAGAAATACAAATATCATGAAACTGGTAAACACGTAAGTTATGAAATTGCGACATCGTGTTACCAACTACTTGTCCAAATAAAATAACAAATCTAAAGAATATTTGAGAGCTTAAGAATGAGAACAACAAATCAATTAAGTCAGCACAAAACCACTGTGCTAGGTAAGGAAAATTTCACACATTACATAATTTATGAATTTTGATAAGCAAAGAAACAGAAAATAAATTTAGTTAAACAGCAAACTAGTCACAGGAAACTATGACAATCAACTTGGAAACCTAAAAAAACCCAAAAACATGCAAACTGGACAAAAACCTCTAACTGGCCAGAATTACCAGAAAGCTTCACTAATACATCAGCTTGTTGATTAATGCATACTTCAGCATTACTGCCTATCCAAATGAGGCTTCCGAACCAAGAAGAAATACATTGGTGTGAAGATCTCCTTCCTGAGATAATACACATAAGTCAGAAAAGTAATGAGTTATCCAGACTCACAAATTAAAAAATGGTTGATTTTCTACACTACGCAAGAGATCTATATTCAATTCAAAATCAAAAGGGTTAAGCACTAGTTCTTTAAGGTGTGATGTTCACGAACACAATACTCTTACTAAAATATTACTAATTAATTACAATTAGCCCATAAGGTAAAAGGAAATGTGAAAAGATAGATGGTAAATATAAGTGGGCAAAATTCTCACCTTCCACCATCAACTAGCCCTTCTGCAGCTTTCTCCAAGAAAGCTTGAACCCTTTGACTTCCCTTAGGGGCAAGTCCTGTATATTCTAGAGCCATGACCTTCAGAGACAAAAATCAAAAAACACTAATTACTTAAATTGCAATAACATGGTAACAAAAAGAACATTAAAAAAAAAATGTTCATATTAATTGATGCCATACACAACCAAACAAAGGGAATGTTTCAAAATGGCATGTCATTATTACGTTACAATGTGCTTAGTACAACCTAAATAGAAAGTAACCGTAATAGAAACAAAAATACTACCCAAAAATAAAACAACACTAATGCCAAAGTTACATATTCACAGTTCATACCATGTTTCTGGTAACAAAACGTCCGACGGCTGTTAGACGGAAGCTACTCAGTGAGAAGTGACTTTTATCCAAAGGCAAGTACCAAGGGATGGGTGAGTTTGCAGCAAGATCTTTATCCCATATGACCTAGATAAAATAAAATAAAAGTGTCCATTATTCTCGTCATTTTGTCCGATTTTAGAATAAGATAAGAGAGATTTAGTGGACCCCTAATTTGCTACTCACTTCAAAACCTGCTTGCTTCAGAGCATCAAGGCATTGTCCTGTAGCCCTGACATCAGGGAGACCATTACCAAGCTCTATTTCTGCCTGTGTAAATGAAAATTTTAATATGAAAAACAAGCATCTATAATATCAACTCAGTCAAATTAATTCAGATTTGGTGGTGCTTCTAGAAAACCTTGATTTTTTGGTGTCCTTTGTTACGGATATCAAAGGCATTGGTCATGCACCACTCATACGCAGCAAAACACTGACCAGGCTTCAATACTCTATAAATCTCTTTATAGCAGCCAACCTTCAGACCATAAGATTAAGAAATAAAGATCAATAAATAAATAAATGAAATGTCAAACCAATAACTTTGTAATCACTAGACAAAAGCTAATGTTTTTATCCTAACCAAAGCATCTGCTGAAAACTTTTAACACAAAATTACATATTTTAGATATCTACCGGATCTGGAGCATGGCAGGTAGCCTCAATTGCATATATTGCATCAAAACTATTGTCAGGAAATGGCATTTTCATGAAATCTGCCTGCATCATTATTATGCAACAATAATCAAAACATGGAAAATGGAACCTCAGAAGAAAACCATGAACTTTGTATTTTAAATTAAACTGCTTACCTTCACAAAATTGCAAGTCTTGTCCAGTCCTGTATTGCGGTTCAGTACCTGCAGAATATCAGCAGCACTTAAGTGCTATGCTCAGAATTCCAGTGATTACATGAAATAATTTAACAAACAGAAATGGAATGCTATCACTGTCTTTGATTATGAAGTCAAGTTCAAATATGAATATGATTTCAACATATTCAATAAAAGGATCAACAAGGGAAAAGCATTAACTAACTGCATTAGGTTAGAAGAAATCAATTCAAAAAAATCTTAATTAGTGGTTCTTATTGAAAAACCTTGTTACTATATGTAATTATCATCACATTGTAAGACAAAAAAATGTACCTGTCCTCTTGCTATCTGATATTCATTGTTGTTCAGACCTGTAACAGATGTCATGCTGCCAGACATCAGCAAACAAACAGATTCTCAGAGCCAACTCTTGAAAACAGCAAAATAAATTTACTACTACAACTATTCAGTACCATTCTGAAAAAAGACTGAAATCAGCATAAGATATAAATACTAATACCGGCATTGCCACCTAGGGATGTTATTATAGTCATGAAAAAAATTTAAGACAACATTAATATCCATATTTGTCATAGTTGTTTAGCATCCTTGCATGCACTGGTTATTTGTATAAAATTCAGACATAGATTCAAGAAAATAGATCCTAAAAAACATTAAACCATTAATGCCCCAAATTATTATCAGCCTCTCCACAAAAAACAAAAACAAAAAAAGGGAGAAGGCTAGTTACCAAATACCTCTCCCAGACCTTACTGTAAACAGGATCACAGTAGCACAAGGTACGATTGCTTGTTTGGTTTGTATCTCAGGATACAATTTTGAGAAAAAATTTCAAAATTTTGTTTGGTTCAAATTTTTTGAAAAAAATTTCCAAAATCACTTTCTCTCTCCTACACATCAATCAATCAACTTTTCTCTCTCCTCTCTCCTTCTCAATAACTTTTTCTCACACACATCTACTCAACTACAACAAAATATCAAATCACCCCAAACTCCCAAACTATTTTCAAAATATACAACCAAACAAACCAAAAAAATTTCTAAACTCTCCCCACAAATT